TGGATCTTTCCAGCATGAACCCGTACTGTTCCTGGGAGATCGGGACCAGCTCCCGCAGCTTCGAGTCGACCAGCCGCTCGTACAACTTCATGGTATGCGCAGTCAACTTGATACCGCGGTAGTTGGAGCAGTCCATTGCGTCACCCTTCTGCTTGAAGATGGGGACGATAGTGCATCCGGCAAACTTCCTTCCGCAGTTACCGTGTTCAGGGATCGGGTGAGCCATCTGATTCCGTACTCTCCAAGCGCCTTCAATGCCTCGACTGCCACCCCATCCGGACCCGCTGCCTTTCCAAGTCCAGTCAACACACAGCTGGCGAAGGCGGTTAAAAGGCTTCTTTCAACTGAAGGGGGACGTGCAAATTGAGAACCACAATCTGTGTAGTACTAGAATTTGGTAAGTCTTGTGGAGGAAATAAATAAAGAAGAGATGTTGTCATAGTATGCCATTTTTAGTGGCTAGTTTGTCGTTTTTTGGTCTGTTTCTCGTTTGCTCGTTTGGTAGGACTCATCAATAATGATCATTCTTTGACTTTTTCACTTTTGTACTTCTTAAACGAATTTTTTTGTGGACGGTGGGGTAGCAGGGCTTTTTTATGAACAGTTTTGGGGGAGAATTAAACAACCTTTTCATAGTTCGGCTTTTGAAGAGGGTTGTTTCATGGACTTCGGCCTCCGGCGGAGGGGGGGGGGGGGGGGGTCGTATTTCCAAATTTTCCTCGACGCCTCGCTTGACCCTGGGCAAGCGGCCGCGAGGAGCCCCAAAGAAGAGGTGGAAATCAAGAAGGACCTACTGAGGTCAGGCCACAGCAGAAGATGCCCTGGACAGAGCAAAGTGGCGACGGCTGACAAAGACAGCGGACCCTGCGACTGCGCGGGACTAACGCTAGGGAGAAGAAGAAGAAGAAGAAGTTCCTCTCCGTCAGGCGTGATCCAAGTGGGCTTTCAAAAAACCGCCTCTGGAAGCACATTGCGCCAAGCTTTGTTTGTGCTTCTCGAAATTTTTTTCACGGTCTGTATTTTACAAGACGTAGGTTTCTTTTTTTAAGTGCCATGAGAACATTGCTCTTGTAATTTTCAACACTTTTATTATAGCTTGCAATTGCACTAGTTTTCCATAAGTATTGTCCTTAACATGTGTTAGAAAGGGAGTAACGCCTTCCCGTAGGAGGCAATATGAGCAGTTGGGGACGCAACATGTAGAAAACTTCCACCGAGACCTTTCATATCAAAGTCAATATGTAATAGTGAATTTGATATAAGTGACGCTTTATGCGAGGAAGGAATCCCCTGAATTCAAACATTTCTATTCAGCAAAATCCTCAGCAAGGTCAGAGTTTAGACCAGGAACGGTAGTAAAGTGGCCTAAACTGGGAGTCAAAGGTGGTGATCATCGAGTGTTGAGGGCGAATAAACTAGGACGAGACTGCGATATGACCATGGTGTGATAGCGAACTTTATACGCGAATTTCCATTACGTTGCTGGCGAAAACTCCTGCCTTGCCCAGAATTGAACCCTCCACCCTTGACCTGAGAACCGCCATCACTACTACTGCGCCAAATATCGGCTGATGCAAATTGGTTGAGGGCAGTTCATGGGAGCAGTCACCGCGTTTGCTGTTCTTATTGTGCAAATTGGCGAGTACGGGTTGGCTGTCCGCACGCGATTTCACACTAATTCAATCTTTTTCGTGAACACTTTCATTTTCAATCCTGACTCTTAGATTTTAGTTGTTGTTTTTTTTCTTTCGTGTTCTCTTTCCACTTTTTTTACGTCGACGTTTCACTGTTTCGAAAACGTGTGTAAGTGCATTGTAGAGCCCTTTATTGGTATTATTACCAGCGCTGGCGCCGTCTTATGATGAGAGTCGGTTTTCCGTCTCCCCTACTAAACGCACAGTGGTCGACGTGGGGGGGGGGGTGGGTACTTAGCACAGAAAACGACTATTTTTTTTTCCTCAATGGTCCTGCCGCGATGGCTAGAGCACAGACGATTAGAGAATGCCCTAGGACTAAGCCTTGGAGAGGAGAGGGACCCGCTAGAGAGCGCAGAGGCGGTAAAGGGCTGAGTTCAAGTAGTCCGTCGACCCAGTTCGTCGGAGTTTGCTATGATATATAGAGTATTACCTAGGCCGATGAGTGTGTTTACCTCGTTCACCAATATTTGAAGTGTTCTAGAATTCTAGAATACCACTTTAACGGCATCGCTCGGAATCGTGTAATTCACAAAACATGAGAGAAGGAGTGATCATTTTGTACTCCTACTGACTAGTATAGGGCGCCATTCGTTGCGGGACCCACTGCCTTAACCCGCGGGGATCCGGTTGAATTCGAACATTCCAGCTTCTCACGCATGTCAAGTGTCTGCCCTCACCCCCCACCCCCCTAGACTGGCGACACTGCCCCTGGCTCACGGATTCCCCGCTCCACATTGAAGGGTTCACTGTAGCAGGAGGCAGTGGGACCCGTAACGAATGGCGCCCTTTACTAGTCAGTAGGAGTACAAAACGATGGCTCCGAGAGAGAATTGGTGATTCACCGCATGTCTCAATACAATGAGTGTGAGCGTGGGCAAGCAATAAATCAGAAACTTACAAATTCACGCATGAAAAAAAGCTGCTCCAATCGCGCGTTCTTCATACCGTAGTTGTTTTCGCTGCGGGAGCGCCAGCCTGCCGCGCGATGTCGCGTTGCGAAGAGCGAAAAAGTCGCTTTCTGTCCTAAGTACCCACACCCGACGTGGGATCCTCAGCGAAAAACGTTCCGAGCGCTATAAGCGGAAAACTCGCTTGTGTTTCGTTTCGTTTTGTTTCTGTTTCAGTGGATCACACTCGTAGCTTCTCTCCACAATCTCATATGTTACGGAATATAGGACGCGGAGGCGAGCGAGAAGTAAGCGCCGAATAGCACCTACGAATGAAACGAATGTTATATTCGTTTTCGGGACCTCTAGTTCCCTACAGGAGAAGTTTCAGGAAGATTCTTCGGCACTAACTATTCCAACTCCAGTAGAGGTGATATGGGTCAAAACAATTTTCCGCTGAAACATTCATATTTGTAATCAGGGTATTTGTAATCAGGGCATCAAAGAACCCCTATACAGAAGTTTACAACGAATGTGAGAATCGCTGGCGCCAAATGGCGCCAATTTGGCGCCAGCGCCAAAAATGGATATCATATTCGTGATCAGGACCCTCGATAACCCCCATAGCGAAGTTTCAGCGAAAATTTTTTTTGACCCATCTCCCCGTGCTGGGGTTGTAATAGTGCAATAGTGCTAATTATTCGGACCTATTTCACTCCTGCAGCAGTTGTAATAGTGCTATGGTGCGAATGCAGCTGATCGACAAGGTTATGGTGGCAGGAAAGGCCTGGAGTTCACCTTGAATCAACGCACCCATTAGTTCAGATATGCCTCTGCACTTCTTTGATTATGCTGGTCGTCGCGCAAGGAATGTCGCGTATGTTCCGCCAGGACCCTCGAAGGAACATGTCGGTGAACCAGTCTCTGATTCGTCAGAGATTTCGGTTCACCGATGAACAGCTGGACTGGATCACGGACTTGTTGAGTCCCATGCTGGGCCGCGACGACCAGCAACCGTGGGCGATAAGTAAGAGGATGCAGGTAGTTGAGATTTATTGCATTCTTTGCAGTAACAACTACTCAATGGGTTGTTCCAGGTGTGCATAGGTATCCGTTACCTATGCACTAATGCATTCCAAGTCGTTGTTGGTGACACCGCTGGATGTTCCCAGAAAACGGTGTCAAACATCGTGCAACGCTACATTAGATTTAAGCCCGAGCCCGAGGCCCGATCCAACGAATTTGCGAGGACTGGGAGGATGTCCAGTGAGTGAAAATTTGAAGGACGTGCTAGCAATCTGAATTTAAAACGATGTTTTTATAGATGTGATCGGTGCTGTGGATGGCACACTGGTCCGGATAAGGACTCCAGCTGTTGACGGGTTTCAGTACGTGAGCAGGAAAGGAACATCTTGCCTCAACGTCTGCATCATCGCAGACGCTGTTGGCCGAATCCTGTACGTCAACAGTGGGTCCCCGGATCAGTGCATGATGCCGCTGTTTGGCGTAACTCCGCACCTGCTGCGGCCTTCAATCGTGGAGTAACCGTGGCAGGTTATTGCCTTCTTGGCGATATGGGGTACGGCAACGGCGGCGGAATGAATGACGCCATTCCGGCCCACTGCCGTCCGAGGGGACGCGAGGAAAACGCGATATAACCACGATCATTGCCGTATGCGATCGATTGTGGAGATGACCATTGGTCGTCTGAAATCGCGTTTCCCCATTCTCTCGTCAGAACTGAGAGTGGACCTGAACGCGCGTCGAAAATCGTCATTGCATGCGCAGTGCTGCACAACATCAGTTTGTGCCTGCACGCGACCGCTATGCGACAGCTTGGAAGAAGGAAGGCGACAATGGCACATCCTGGAGCCGACGTCGCCGACGTCCGTGCCTACATCATGGAGAGGATGTAGCCAATTTGTCGGTATGGACATGCTTATTCTGAACCTTTATGTTTCAGACTTCGATGAAAATCCTTGTTTTCCTTTCCAGCCTATCCAAAAACTGCAAACGTCCCTCTACTACTCAAGGTAACTGATGTGACCGTGACGTTTGATTCTTCTCATTTTTTGAAACGAACGTAGGTCCACTTTTGAAACCTCCTCGGTGAAGAACTCGCGAAAATGCTCTGCAATTACGCATTTCGCTGAGTATGATTTACCGGAAACAATGGATGGGAATGAAATGGAAGGAAGATAACGATAAGCGCGAGATCAGTTTGTTCTTTATCACTTGTTGGAAATTTCGTGTCATTAGCACCCTCGAAGGGCACGCAATTTGAAATGGATGAACTTGAAATGTTACTTCTTTTTCAAAACAAATCACTCACATTTCAGGCGCATTGTAAATACTCAGGCAGTGAT